TTAAAAGTAGCATGGACTTAACATTATCCAGATAAGCTAAAAAAATAAATGGTCATTTCAGAGACTTTAGAGATTTGTAAGGTGTTTTTGTTTGGGTTTTTCCTTACCTCCTCTCCTCCGGCCAAGATACCCACAGACAGTTCCATCAGTATCCAGGTCTGTGTGTATTCTCCCGCACACATGCAGCCTGCCACTGCCGCCATGGAAAAGTTTTCTTCTTCTAAGGTACATGGCACAGGAGTAACAACTACAACTGCAAACAAAAATCTAAAATTACATGGAACTTAAGAGTCAATATTTCTCAAATGATTTCAGAAGGTTGAGGGCTGTATTGACTTGCCTATTTTTAAGCCATGTTGGAGTGTTATGACGAGGTAAGCTCCCAGCTTCTTGGATGATCCAGTGTTCCCACTCCCCCAATGTGGGGTGTCTATGGTTCATTTCCACATCCTCTCAGGCCAAACTGTGGCAATGCTCCTGAGCTAATTCCCGTACACTTTGTTTGCCCTTAACCAGGATCAGGGGATCACCTGTCCGAGAGGGTGGGAAGACAGGGCTCTTAAAAGACAGAAACCTCAGCAGGCAGCGGTGACCGGGAAAGAGGCCCAGTCCCTGCCCTGCTGTTTCCAAGAGGGTCAGAGTACCACAGAAGCAAAATTCATAGGGAGGCCATTTTAGACAAGGATTTGAACTTGTATTTAAGTGTCCCCATAGGGCATTAGCACAGAGAAGACCAGCTGGCTGCCAGCCTTTTGTTTCACCTCTCAGAACCTTGCCGCAGCCCAAGAAGCATCATGTCATACCCCTTGCCTCTACCTTTCTCCAAAAGCCGTCTCCAATTTAAAACCACCTAAATGTTTCTTTAAAATTTTAATTTCCAGGCTGTAGCCCTAACCATTTCAAATCTAACCACCGTCTCAAGGTGTCAACATGGTCTAGAGTGATTCCAGGACTGTGGAGATTCGGTAGTTTTTCTAAAACCCTTTACAAAGGCAGGGCAGGCTGCAGGAGTCTCTATTTGATGACATAAAACCTACTACACTTTGGCTAGAGCCAGCTGTGGAAGTGTGTTATTACAGGGCTGGAGAAGGGCACTCACCCCTCAGTGGTGAGGCAGGTCTTTTCCTGTGTACAATCTGCAGACCCTGTCTAATATTTTCCATACTGGGCAATGAGATCACAAACTCCAAAACACTAAATCAAAACCGGAGGCATTACAGGTCTTCAATAAAACTCCATAGCCCATAAACCAGGGGGAGGGAGAGGAAAATTAAAACCATCACGGAACAGCGGACATACTTTATGCATACATAAATACATGTGTACGTACGTGTGTATGTATACGCAGCATCACTGGGATGTTGCAGTGACTCTAAAGGAAAAGATAACCAATAGTGATCAGTTCATGAAATAGGACAGACAAGCAGTAAAAAGCTACAAGTCAAAAATCCCATCTGTGCCTTAGAGAAATCTCACCATAAAAGACACTTGATTTCTGGTCAAGGAAAATGATCCCATGTGGGAAGAAATTATAGAGATGTGCATGTGAGAAATTAAATGAACTCGAAGGAGAGCATGTGTTGGTGAGACTACATAATTACAGAGGGAGGCTTTAAGACTTCCCAGCTATCGCTAAGGATATCGCTGATCCATGACCTCAGAGCAGAGGCTTTGTTTCCACATAGCAATGTTTCCCGGTGCTATGTGTCTATAGAACTGAACCAAAGGACCTCTGATTATGAATCGTTATGCTGATTATGGAAGAAATAGGTCACACTGCTCTCCCCTCCACTCCTTTCAGTTTGTAGGAAGAGAATCTGGGCAGTGTCCTCCTGCAGGTTTAGTGTCCTGTGGTGAAATGATGACAGCCATCTCTCTGCAAACCTAACTACTACATTTCTAGTGTATAAGTGATCCTTTCTTTGCTGAAGAGTGGAGAAGACCGGAGTCTAATGAGAAATCGGAGAAATCCAAACAAATGAAGTCTGGCAGGCACTGTCTTAATTTAGACAAAAGGCTCCAATAAGTAACTTCCAGTTGCCAGGTCCATACTCTGTTCTGTCTAAAGCATTGCCTTTGAGTTCACAGGAGCACACTTCAAGCTGTTTTCTATTAGGTTGGGCTGGTGTGGATGCAGCTCACACGTCAATCTTGGCAGCTGAGCTAGTCTGATCGGCAGGGCCATCCTTTACGCAGTAGGAGACCCCCATCCAACCCTGTATTTTAAGAAGTGCTTTCCAACACTTGCAGTTCCCTTTGTAAATGCCACTTTTGTCTTTTATACCCTCCCATGGCTATTCTTAGATTCCTCACTTTTCCAAATACTCAGGAGATATGCCCCCATGCACAGCTCAAGTTCCTCCTGCATTTTCAATTTTAATGTTGCTATTTAGATTTTCAGCACTGACAAATAAACATTTTAAGAGATCTCTGCAAAGGTGAAGTTTTGACCATGCCTTGAGCCTTCTTCGATTTGATGTAAGTGGTGTGTGTGTGTGTGTGTGTGTGTGTGTGTGTGTGTGTGTGTGTGATGAGATGAAATAAATCTAATTGCACAATGTGGGTAACTTTATACAGAGGAAAACTGAGGCTCATGTGGCATGCCCATTGTCAGAGAAGTTGGGGAGGATTTTGGTCAGGTTAGGATTTCCATAAACCAAGGACAGGCTCCTTCAAAAGCTTGGAGAAACTACCCTGCTTCCCATACCCACCCGGCAAAACAAAAACAAAACAAAACAAAGCAAAACAAAACAAAAAAAATCTCTGCTGGCTTTCAGAGTTTTTTTTTTTTTTTAAATCACCCAAATGCAACCTTTGATGCTTCCACTCTGAAACTCGGAAAGCTAAGTGACAAATATAGTAGTCAGGTCCCTACATTTCAAAGCAGGAAGTGTCTTAGATCTTCACTGGTCATGCCCAATTTCCCCCTGTTTGTTTCTAATGGACTTGAACAGCAAATCTATTTTCTGCTATTTCTCCTCTAGTCTCTGAACCTAAGGGAGGATCCAAGAGTGTTTTTTTTTCTTCTGTTATCTGTTATCTGTTCTTATTTACCACTTTCATTTGAAGAAACTGGAAAAAATATTTTTTTCTTTTCGTTGGTTCTCTCATTCTGTATTTCCAAGGACACTGTGAGCAGCCAAAGTTGGTTGAAACAGTTTCGGTCGACTCAGGCCTGCCGCTGCTTTTCTAGGCTAGTAGAGGTAAAGCGAGCCTCAGCAAAGAGCCAGGCAGACACTAGCAGGCAAGGTGAAAGCCAGCCATGGGAATCGGTCGTTGGGGCCTGAGGGATGGAGCTTGTCGCTTTGGCGTTTGTACTTGCTGCCTCTGCCTTCGGTTCCTTACTCTTTGGGAGCGGGGAAGTGCGTTCAAGTCGGAAAGCGGAAAGCGGAAAGCGGGTTCTGGTGCCACTGACTGCTAAGGTGGGGAGGGCACAGGACTCCTGCTGACTTGGGTTGTGAGGTCAATTAATATGTGAGTTCCTGTCCTCCCCACCCTCCCCTCTGCCACCTCAGTCACTTTCGGTGTAGTTCTTTGCTTTCTTCCTGTTCCCCGCTTACCACAAGCTAGCTTCCAGGTTGGGTGGTCCCCGAGGGTTTGCAACCCTTCTTTCTTTCTTGCTTTTTTCTTTCTTTCTTTTTTTTCCAGATGCTTTCTTGTACCTGGCCACATCTCATACTTCAAAATAAATAAATAAATCTATTTTCTCACTTTTAAGTGTCGTGTGGTGTTAAAATTGTCCTTTGTAATATTGTCCCTGTAGAGTAAGTTATGCTGCCCTTATGAGTCCTCCTTACACAAGCAATCTGTAATTTGCGTTGTCTTTTTTTTTTTTTAAGAAGAAAAGAGATTTGGTTTGTTTGACTTTAACTTCGAACCGTGCAACGCACCTCCCGGTGTTCATAAAACAGCGAAAGTCCAGGGCCTGAGCCAAGAGAGATTGGCGAAACCCACCTCTGCCAGTTCCCGGCTGGCGGCTGGCAGGCAAGGCGGCTGGAAAGTCGAGGCGCCAGGTTCAACCATGGCTAGCACGGGCTTCTAGATACAACGAGTGTGCTCTGCTCTGGGTTTCTTCCCAGCGTAATCAAATCGCGCACCCGCAGAGTCAGAATCGAACTTCATTTGCTTGTTTAGTTTTCTCCAAAATGAATGGGTCCCGGGGAACAATCAGCTTGTTGCACGCTTCGTTTGCACCCTAATAACTACCTCACATAATCCCATCAAAAATCAAGACGGTACAGAGGAGTGAATTGGGAGACTGATTCACTCACTCTGAGCGTTCGGGTCTTGCATGCACAGCTCTGGTGACAAATGGGCAGAATATTTCCTCCAGTCTCCAGAAAGACAATCACTTTTCTTTATGGCCTTCTCTTTAACTTGCACCGCCTAGCAAGCTGCTAGCCTCGTCTACTTTCCCGCCTTGGGAGACCTGCGAAAGGTCTTAGGATCACTTAAGGATCTCACCTTGGTCCTCTGTCCCGGTGTGCGTCCAGCACCAGGTGGACGAGGCTTTTGCTGAGCTAGGTTCTCCAGACTTCCGCGCTCCTGGTGACTTCCACTGCTCACTGTTGCACGCTGGGATTAGCACAGGCAATACTATTTTACTAAGCTCAAATGCGAAGTCTACGAGCTTTCTTACCTCTGTGCGCGCCTCGTGGAACATTAGCTGACCCAGAGAAGTGGAGATGACCAAGCTACAACCCAGAAGGTCGAGGAGAAACTTTGCCTTCTGCAGTCCAACCTTTCAGCCACCCCATCCGGTCCGCGGCGCGGGAACCTGCGCAGCCAAGCCGGGACCCGACCCGACAGGGGGCGACAAACTGTAAGGTTTTCCCCGAAACCTAGCAGGATTGACCGCTGTGTAGCCTGGAGCCGCAACAGGCTGTTGAGGAGGAAACCATGGTGAAGGGAAGGTTAGCAGGTTCTGTTAACACCAGAGAGTGCCCCAACCCCAAGTGCGATCCCTTAAGCGTCCCCTCCACCTTCTTCTGTCCCGCACCATGGGGCCACCTTTCCCTAAGGAGTTTGGTGCTGTCTGGATTGCACTTTCTTGCCAGCGAAGTGCACGGGCTGAGCAACCTTACAAAAAGGTAGCTGGGTCGAAACTGCTTTCTCAGTGGCATGGCTCCCTTTAGCTTCTCTTTGATAGTGCCCTACGTGTAGCCCTGCAGTCCTTAGCTACTTTGATGAATTTCTGGGATGCACCAGATTCAGGGACGGAAGCTCTGTTTTTCACACCTGGGAGAGTCCACGGTGGACGATTACACGTTTCTTGGTATCCCTTGCCTGCCTAGAAATCCCGGAAATGAGTCTTTAGAGAAATTCTGGGAAAGTTAGAGGGTACCAAATCTCTAACCATCTAGAGAGAATTGACATTGACGGTGATGTATCCTGACACCCCAAAGCTTCAGAGAACTGCTCTGTGCATTCATCTTCCTCGGCTCGTTGCCCCCCTCCCCGAAAGCTCCTGTTCCCAGCATGTCCACTTTAGTCGACATTGTTCCCTAGATCTTTGCTGGAAGGCTGCTCTGTTCTGGACAGGCCTGGTATTCCAAGTTGGGGTTACTGTTCTCACAGGGGGGCACCTTCTAGGGTACACTGATTCCCCTAAACCTCTTCCACATCCCAGCAACCTCTCTAAGACTCAAGACTCTTAGGGCCTGGCGCTGCACTGGATTCTATGGGCTGCTAGACAGAGAAGTGTTTTCAATTCTTTTGAAGCTGCCTTCCTTCCCTTCTTCCTTCCTTCCTTTCTCTCTCTCTCTCTCTCTCTCTCTCTCTCTCTCTCTCTCTCTCTCTTCCTTTCTTTCTTTCTTTCTTCCTTGCCATGGCTCCATCCTATTTCTGTTGGGTGTTGTACAGTTCCCCTGGAGAGCCCAGAATCCAAGGCTCATGTCCTTCTAACACATTTGCATAGGTTGATTGAGATCCATTAAAGTTGCACCACCACCACCACCACCACCACCCCCAGAAAATGAGGAAGGAATGAGGTCAGGGATTCCAAAGAGGCTCCCGAAGCTATGCTGACAGGGTCAGTCTGCTGGGAGCCTTGAACGGTATCGTTGCATTTGTGCGGAGAGCAGTTTCCAGGCTGTTCTGAAGAGCTAGAACACGGAGGGATGTGTGCTGGTGCAGAGGGGTGTTTCTTGATTTCCGAGGAGTATTTAGACTCCTAGGAAGTTCCAGGGATTGTGGCTGTTTCTGAGTTCCCTCTTTCCTGCTTTTTTTGTGACCAGCCCAAAGCTCTCTGTTTCTAGTCATCTCACCTGGAGACTCCCAAGTCTTAGCCCCCTGGCACCAGTTCAGATGCCACCACCACCCTGTTGCTTACTTTCGGATTGCTGCAGATATCAAGGCCAGCTGGGAAGCCTAGAACTGTGCATTGATTCCGAGTGGAAGAGCTGGTTTTAAATACCAGGGCCAAAGACTCAAGGACTGTGCAAACTGCCTTAGGTGGGGAAAGGACCACTGGGTGCTTTAGCGAATATCTGCTGGTGCTACGGAAAGGCAAGGGCAGACTGGTATGAAGGGAATGGCTCAGGGCTTCATTGCCTGCCCGAAAGGGACTGTGTAGATTTAGGACAGGAGCTCAGCAGCCATAAGGCATTTTGCAGTTTGCCAGATTGTTGGGGGCCATAAGTAGCAAGCCTGACTCTTTCTAGCCTGTTCCTTGTGTCAGTTCTTGGAGAATGAGTTCTGATGGGTGAGCTTTGTCATTACAGACAGAATCTGGAATGTGCCCCTCTTGGGTCATTGATATCACCTTATATTACTCCAAAGGCATTGTTGAGAGAATTTCTTGAGAGCAAGAAAGACACAGTAAGACAGAAATGAAATAGGGGAGAGTCAGCCCCATAAGCCACCAGGAACCATCTTTCCCAGGTTTCCCAAACAAGCTGGACCTTTTCTTTCTTTTCATCTTGGCAGTTTCCTGAGTGCTGCACCCACCAGACTTATCTCTTACTTCTGCTCAGGGCAGCAGGTGGTGAATACACTAAAACACTTTGCCAGGATGAACTTCTACCCTCCAAAAGGTTATTAGCAATGGTGGAGAGGCAATAGTAAAACTAATGTATGGTCAATTTGAAATGACTTCCCTACTTCCCTAAAGCTTGTTAGAGAGGCGGCAAAAGGCAACGGAGATTGGATGGTTCCAGGATCTGGCTCAGCTAGGTTTGGGATGGTGTGTGTTCTTGGTGTGTTGTGTGGGGGGAGGGGAGTGAGTGGGGGGATGGGTTTCAGAGGGAGTGGAGAAAGGCTGAGGGGGAAGCCAGGAGCTAGGAGGA